TATATATATAAAACAATGACCTAATTGATGTGATTATGATTTACTTTTACTTCCATGTGTTTCTTTAGTGGCATTCTTTTATGAGTCTCTATGTATCATTTCATGATAAAGAGCCAAAACCTAATGAGAAATATTAAAGAGTACAAAGAAGATATGACTCCCTTTTCATTGCTCCTGAAGCTTGTAATGTCCATGGAGGCTCTGAAGTTACTCCGATCCTCTGTTCACTGAGGGGCTACAACAAGCAGTGAGGTCAAAGTTCTTCATGCACACAGATGTTGTAATTTTATATCTGTACTCATTAGGATAAAAACATCGTACTAAGTTATTCATATAAGATTTTATTCTTTATTAAATGAGTGAATATAGAAATAGGCCGAAATCCATATGAATTCTCCAGTGGGAAAAGCTCAGGGAAATTCCCTTACTGGATTTAGTAAGGAGAAACCAGTAGAATGCATGTAGTCACTCCCGTTTACTATGCCTCTTTCACATCATCTTTCATAGAAGGCAAAATCTTCCAAATTGCCCCTGTGAACCTAACTGCAAAGTCACCAAAGACTTGCTTTTACTAGAAATTCCTAAAAATTAATAGAAGTTTGGTTTTTTCCCCCAATAACTCCATTATATCTCCTTATAAGCCTAATCGCATCCTTTTAGTAAGTTAAATTCTCAGTTTATTGTAACATCAAATTTCAATACTAAATGAGCAGAGCTTTTGGCTTCTGTTCATTTTAATCTTTTCTTTAACAACAAGAGAACTGAGTTCAACTCATCATTAAATCTCCTGCATTAAGTTTGCAGTTGTACCATTAATGGTATGAAATGCTAAATCCACAGTCAGACCAAGAAAATCTTCATGAAAATACTGACTTGTTCAGAGACATTGATATCTTATTTTTCCTGACCCTTAGGTAGTTACATAATGACTGCAATTCCATAGAGAACAATTACCCATTCATAGAGCGTATGTGGCTCCAAATTTCATAACAGCTTCCAGGAGAGAAAAACAATAGAGGAGAAAAATCTAAATGAAGATGGATGCATGGATTTTAGAAGTACTAAATTATTGCATCTCATGAGAAAATTTAGGAGAAAAATTCATCAGACCTTACAATGAAATGAAAGAAACCCATTAATTTTCATCATCTCTTGAGTTTCAGAATCTAATAAAATGGAACAAAAGATGCTAGTTACCACCAACGAGACATGAGTCCTATAAATACTTTATATTCAAAACTTTAAAATTTTAAAGAAGAAGTTTCCTTATCTCTAAAGTTGAATATACGTCAAAGATCCATGAACAAATTCATTCACTCCCCTTCCCCTGATTTGCATTTTGTTTTGTTTCATTTTACAAACATGGAAGCCAAGTTGAGCAAGATCCTTCTTAATGGAAGTTTGGTTTTCTTCTCCATTATATCTACTTCTAACAAATAACCCTCCAGAGTTATTTGTTTTGTGATTTCTTTGGCATAACTAAAATAGCAGAAATTTTCCCAAATGCTGTTTGGTCCATTAGACATAAAATTATTAGATCAATTTTTGAAACTTCTACATGAATATAAGCCCTTTGAGAGTCACATAATTTAGGTTGTTATGATAGAAAAATGGTGAAGTATGAGTTATTTTTTAATCTTCCAAGACTTGGATGGTGCAGTCCTATGACATTCACCATGCTATCACTCTATTATTCTGTTTGTTTCACATACTTACTTTAATATGCTGATCTCTGGGGGCTGATTCAAAGATTGTTCATTATTATCATCATTATCATTGTTGTTTTCAGGACAGATGGTAAACTGAAAATCACTACTTCTTTCTCCATGGACGTGAATTTGGACATCATTCATGGACATGAATTTAAAAACAATAGTATTTTCTGTTTTTTTTTTTTTTTTAGTACAATGTTCTTAACAAGCATATGGATTTCCTTCATACAGGCTTCTGGAAAAAGTAAGCAGACTGGCAGCTCTCATTGTAAAAGATTAGGAACCAAGAAGATAGTATATTTGACATTTTTGAGAGTGTTTCTTTTGTCAATATTTATAAATAAGCAACGTAACAAGGGTTTGTGAGCCTCTTTTTTGTGGTTATATTAAGATATTCAACAAAAACCAGTGACTTAGGGTAGCTACCGGATGTTATAACAATTTTACTACCAACTAAGTATAAATACATCCCTCCTTCATAAATTGCAGTTGAATTTAGGACAGCAACAAAATATTATACATTTAAAATGTTCCCTTAACATTATCTAATAGCACAGTAGCTGCAATGAATGCTATAATATACACTGAAACACATCATTAAAATACTTAATTGGTTAAAAGCCTATTATTAGCCTGGAATCCACCATTCTCTCTTTATTATACTTTCAGTGAAAAGTGAAGATTTTTGATCTTTATGTTGGGTGGATTTATTGGAAAAAGCCCTATCAGATTTTAACATTGCTTACCTCTCTGTTACATAACAGTGCATTTTGAAAACATGAACAGGAAGTTTCAAGTTAAATTTTAGAAAGAATTTGTCCTAAATGTATATCAGACCATACTTCCCGAGTCAAGGTAACACCAGGTCAGCTAAGATTTGTTCTCCCTGTCCCTCTGCCCGGGAAAACTGAAGTCTGTTGACAAGGAAATAACAATAGAGTTTTTATAGGTAGGGATGGGCCCAAAAGAACCAGTTTTGCCATTATATACAAATGTATTTAAAAAAATCAATGGAGACAAAATAAGTTCAATTGCTATGAAGACAAGCAAATATTTGATTGCAAATTTTGTGCCAGTTGATTGCTATTTAGCTGTAGCAACAACCCACTCTAGCCAGGTGCCTGGTGTTCCCGAATAATTCCAGTGTAAATAAACTAACTCATGGCTCTCTAGATCATGAAGTCAATACTTAGACCCTTTCATTATGCTTTTTTTTTTTTTTAAAACCAAAAGAACTTATGCTAGCCCAAGCTATGCTTTATAGCATACTAGAAAGCTTGGACTAGGGTAAGTTGTTTTGGTAGAATCCCAGCACTGCACACACTTCTCAACAGTTGGTTGTAACATCTGACCACGTAGAGAAGGAGCTGGAGAACTAGCGCATGACAGTCAGGACTTCTTGCTCTGCAGGATACTCAAATCCTAAGGTGCTTTTTTTGAGATAAATTGTGATCTAGCCATTTACTTGTAGATCTTCGCATTTCGTGTTTCAGTAGCAGATAAAATTAGCTCTCTTTTATTGAAATGCAAATGCATGCACCATTCATAAAAATAAAACATGTTCATTTGGAAAGAGGGATTTTTTTTTTCAACTGATTGGATCTTTGAAACTAAATTATAATAAATGTTATAGATGGAAAAAAGAACACAGACACATTAGCTGATATTAGTTTAAAAGTACGATATCAAGCCTAGAGAGAGACTTTAGGACTGTCTGGCTATCCTATTAGATTCAGTCCTATTGTGTTTCCCTAGTGGAAAGTATCTGGGAAGAGTATTTAAATCTTGTCCCCCTTCATCCAACCTGTACCAATGACCTCCATCCTCATCTGGTTATGTTACTTCTTATAGTGAAAATGGAAGCAAAGAGAGCAACTCCCTCTTTCAATCCCTCCAACCCAATAAGAAATCCACCCAGCTGTCTCTATCTGTGTCTGCTATTTCCTGGCTGTGCCTGCCACTAAGATGACATTGAGTGTTCCCTGTGCTTACATATTAGATGCCTTCTCTTCTCATGTATTTGAGGGCTCTATTTCTTTAATTATCCCCTCTCTCCTACATTATCTATTTTTTCCTTAGAGAGGGATCATTCCCATCTGTTCATAAACATACTGAACTACCTCCCACTACCAAAAGGCAAAAAAAAAGAAAAAAAGATAAAAAGAAATACAAAGAAAGAAGAGGAAAACTGCCTTTGACTTCATATCTCTATCTTATCCCTTTTGGTTTTTTTGTGTGGTTTTTTGTTTGTTTGGTTGGTTTTTTTTTTGGCTTTTTGTGATAGTCTCGCTGTGCAGTTCAGGCTGGCCTTGAGCTTACTTTGTAGCGCAGGCTGGTCTGAAACTTGCAGCGATCCTCCTGCCTCAGCCACCCGAGTGCTTCTTTTCCCCATTATATCACCATTTTTCCAAATTGTCTCTACTTTCTCGAATCTCATTCTTCAACGAGCTCCCTTCA